AGTGATGATGAAAGTTACTACCATGGTTTAAATTACCATCTATACACCAATCAACAACTGCTAAATCTACATCTCAGAATCACATCACTGTCTTGAGTCCCAGATTCATTAACTGCAACAGCATTAATTATATCTCCACCCTCCCTTTCTTAAAAAAATTGAAAACATATATTAACTATTTTAATAAATATATTAAATATGATATAAATATATGTTAAATAAATATATAAAATCTATTTTAACATATATTTAAGTATTTATATATTAAACACTTGTTAAAAACATTACTTTTAAGGCTGTATAACTTAGATTACAAGTATTTATAATATTAAATAGTTTAATAGTTAAAAGCATATTAAATGTACTTAAATATATGTTAAAATATATTTTATATATTTATTTTATAAAGGTATATTTATATATCACATCTATTTTAACATATTGTAAAATTATGAAACATATTTTAATATACATTGAATATATTAAATATATTTTAACATATATTAAATACTTAAAAGCTATATTTATGATATTAAATACTCAATATTAACATTATAAGGTACATAATATATATACACATTGAACATGTAAATATATAAAATATTATAAATATATGTTTATAAACATATACATATAAACATATTTATATACACATATATGTATATAAACATATACATGCATGCATCTATTTTTGTAATATATATGTATAATATATACACATACATGTATAAAATACATATATATGTTACTGTGTGTGTATCCCCAAAGGCTGCTTATCACATATGATACTGCTACTCTCAGTTTATTTTTATTTCTTTTTAAAGTCTGCAATTTAGCAGGCTTTTCTTCCTCCACTCAAATCACACTTTCACTTACCTTTCCTAACTCAGAGAAAACACAAAACAAAAATTAAACAAAATCAGTAAGAAGGAAAGGAACTATAATCATGTCCTATTCACTTTTGTGACTCTAGTTACTGGTACATAGTAGTAAATTAATAAATATTTACTTAGTAAATAAATGAATGAATGACAAGTTACAGACTTCAGATAAGAAAAAAAGTTCAGAATTTATAAAAAACATTGACATGTTTAAAGAATTTATGAAAAATGTTTACATTTTTATGAAAAAGCCCCATGATTTATGGAAAATGTTTATAAATACCAAAAGCTGGAATGGAAACTAATAGAGTCAAGATATAATGAATAAAGATTCATCAACATATGATGAATTTCCTGCTGTGTTTTTTCCTAGGAGATGGTTTTATAAAGGGAGCAGAAATGAAGCTAATGAGTTTTTCAAGTTTCTTTTAAGAATGTAGACTTTAGGACGGGCGCGGTGGCTCAAGCCTGTAATCCCAGCACTTTGGGAGGCCGAGGCGGGTGGATCACGAGGTCAAGAGATCGAGACCACCCTGGTCAACATGGTGAAACCCCGTCTCTACTAAAAATACAAAAAATTAGCTGGGCACGGTGGTGCGTGCCTGTAATCCCAGCTACTCAGGAGGCAGAGGCAGGGGAATTGCCTGAACCCAGGAGGCGGAGGTTGCGGTGAGCCGAGATCGCGCCATTGCACTCCAGCCTGGGTAACATGAGTGAAACTCCGTCTCAAAAAAAAAAAAAAAAAGAGAACGCAGACTTTAAAATATAAGCTGACATAAGCTGAACCTTGCAGAATTATTGTCCCCAAGGATGGTTTTAATGGAGTTTAGAAAAAGAAGAGTTGGATAAGCATTTAAGAGTAATTAAAAAGCATTGTATAAGGTATGAAACACTTTACTTAGCATAGTCTATACAAAAGTAGAAACAATTTTCTGGGCTTTAGCCCAGGCAAACAAACAAACAAATAAATAAAGTACACAACTCTCTTTTTATTTTTCCTGAGAGCAAGGTTATTTAGATACCTAGTAAGTATTAATTTTATTCCCTAGGGATCATGATACTATAGTTCTCAAAGAGATAACTATAGTACTGTCATTGTTGGAAAAGCATCCTTTGAAGTATAGATAAATTGTTTCTCTGATTTGCATAAATCTCTTGTAATAAATACCAAAATAAATAGTAATTTTTTATATTAAAAAGAAAATTAGGATTAAGTTTTACAAGATCTTTTATATGCATAAATGTAGAAATAAGACTTTACATTTGTGTATTTTTCTTAAAATTGAGACAGGGTCTCATTACACGGCCCAGGATGGAGTGCAGTGGCTATTAAGAAGTATGAATACAGTTTCAACTCCTTGGCTCAAGTAGTCCTCCCGCCTCAGGGTCCTGAGTAGGTGGGGCTACAGGTATGTGCCACTGTGTCTGGCTACATTTGCGTTTTTTTCAAATCACATTATCTTATAAATATATTTTCCCATAACATTCACTGATCTTGTTTGATTGCAAAATAGTGCTTTACTTTAATATACTTAGAAAATATGGGAAAGCAAAAAAAGATGAAAAAAGTTCATTTTAGTGTACAGGTTTCAAGTCTTTTCAATTATACACATAAAGCAAAAGCTAAAATAATACATAGTTTCATGTAATGTTCACTGAATATAATACAGTATGAACATTTTCCAACTTCATCAAACATTTGTCAAAAACATCACTTTTAAGGCTGTATATCTTAGATAACAAATATCCCATAATTTGTTTTACCATTCTACCATTAGGTATTTATTTAAGTTAACATTTTTACAATATTATGACTCTTCATATGAACCTCTGTTTAGCTTTTGGTATACACTAAGAAGAGATACTTTTTATGGCTTTGGATACATTCAAACTAATCCCTGAAAAAGTATACAAGATATAAGAATCTGTGTCTCACCATGTCTCAAGAAGTATTATAATATGTTATGGGTTGTTGATGTTAAAGTTATGACATCCACTTACATACTAAAATTTAAATATGTATACCTAAAAAATTTATTAGCAACACATGGATAGATATGTATTATTTTTAAACATTTAATATAGATGCAAATAAAGAATAAAAATTCCCCTTTACAAACCTTATTCTCCATGCCACTTTTTTTCCATATTACTGTTTACAGCTTGGAATATATATATCCTTTTAAATGTTTTATATGTAATCACATAAACACAATCAAATATACAAACAGCTTTTTAACATGCTATATGAAATCATATTATTAATATTTTCCTTTATTTTTTTTCAATTAACATATCTTGAAAACTTTTCAGCATAAAAACAGTATCTAGCGTCCTAGATTGATAAATATTTTCTGAAAATAATCCATGACAATTTCATACAGATTTGCCTAATGCTTTTAAATGGCTACATGGGAATTGATAATAATTAATAAGGTAATTCCTTATATTTGTGCACATTTATGAGTATTTTTGTGGAACGGATTATTAAATAAAAACTGCTGTGTGAATTTAATAACTGTGCATTAAATATTTTAAAATAGATCGATGCATTAATGTCAAAAAATATTGTACCAATTTATACTATCACCAACAGGGTATGCAGATACTAGTTTCACTACACTCTTACAAAAAATGAAGATCAGTAGTCACTTTTATGCTTGCAAATTTCCCAGGCAAAAAAATAAACTGTTATGAATCTACATTCCCCTGGTTTTGAGTAAGAATGAGTATCACTTCAGTAGCTAAATTATTCTGCTAAGAATTTTTTATTTGTTCATTGCCTTATTGCATTTTTTTTACAAGGGTGTTGCTTTAGAATTGATACATGAGAGCATGTTATATATTATAAGCACTGACCATTAGCCTGTTTTAAATATTACCAATATTTTCTTCCAGTCTATCCTTTGCTTTCAAATTATAGTATATTTTGTTACAAAGAAATTTCAAATCATCAATGTCTTATTTTGTCCTTTAATTTTTTTGTTGGTCTTTAAAAAACTTATCTTTTTAAAAATTGTCTGAGGGAGTAATTTAATACCCCAAGATCAGATTGTTCATATTTACATATATATGTAATTTTTTTCTTCCTAATTTCTTTAGACACTTAACTCTATAGTGCACTTAGAATTGCTGCTGTAGTATGGCATGACATTAATTTTATCACACTATTTATAAACCCTGACGCTCCTGATATTTTATCATATACTCACTGCAATCTCCATCTCCTGGGTTCAAGCAATTCTCCTGCCTCAATGTCTCAAGTAGCTAGGACTACAGGTGTGTGCCACCACGTCCAGCTAATTTTTTTTATTTTTAGTAGAGATGGGTTTCACCATGTTGGCCAGGATGGTCTCGATCTCCTGACCTTGTGATCTGCCCGCCTCAGCCTTCCAAAGTGCTGGGATTCATTAGTGACTTTTTTAAGGAAAATATTTATCTTATTTGAACTGCAGAGAAAACCTCTAGGACAGTATACAAAACTTATGTATCCTGCGTATGTATAATTTTTTGAGAATACCTTTCTGAATGGGTCCAGTCCTCATTCAAATCTATATCCAAAAGTATATCCAAACCAATTACATATTTTTGTTTGATTCACGCCTCTTATTTCTTCCTTTAATGTAGCTGACCAAGAGTGAACGCATAGCAAAACATGCATTTAAATAGTTAAAGCATTTAGTTTTTCAGAAAAAAAGGCAAATCTATTCAATTTAATTGCAAGAGTGAACTGAAAAAATGGTCTGAGATGCAAACTGATCTACTGAAATAAGACAAATTTTCATTTTTAAATAGTGTCATTTTACAAACATTGTACAAGTTTAAGTGATGTTTTAAAAATGTGTCCAGAAATTCTTTGAGTGAACAGAAAAAATGTACACTTTGATCAGTTAACTGTCTTTGCTATTTCGTTTATATAAAGAATAGTATACTTTTTAAAAGATATACTGAAGCCAAATGAATTTTGACCAACTAAGTTGTGGTTCTACCATGATCAACCATTTTATCTTTATATTTTAGGAACGATATATAATTTAAGTTTTCATAAACAGAATATTTAGAATAGAAACAGAAACCACTCAAACAACTTGATGATGTGAATTTTAAAAAGCCAAGTACCTTAACTGCTTCACATAGTTCAGTAAGTCGAGCTTCTACATCCATTTCCTCTGGAAGGGGTAAAGAGTAGAGGAAATATTTCAATGTTAGATATTTAATTTATGTAAATAAATTAAATTCCTATAAAAATATGAAAATTAAGAACTATCTGAACTATATTCAATGAATTAAATTTCAAGGTAATATATTTTCATAAACATTAATTACATAGGTAATGTGATTATTAAATTCTACATTCTATTAAATATTTTTTATTTTCATGAGTTAGCGCTGTCAAGAAAATATTAACTATATACATAAAGCAACTTGCACAACTGTGTCACAGAAAAGACCAAATACATAATTAGATTTTACTGTATTTCATATTTTATAATTTTCAGTACAGTTTAGTATTTTGTTATATATACATATGCCTTGCTTTTTTGCTTTTTACAAAAGCTATTACTAAAATGCTTAAGTAAAATTAATTTTTATAACTGAAACATTTAAAACATACCTGAGGTATAGACTATTTAATGAAAAAGAATGTCAAGATCCTTTAATAGAAAGTTAGTTCCTAATTAATAAATTTATTTTTCTATAAAATATTCTTAAACTGAGGCAGATATTTGCCATACAATTCCAATTTACTTAATGTATGCTATAAGCATCTATAAAGGGGTGCACAGATTTACAATTAAAATGGTAATATTTACTATGAAAAACAGAAGCTAACAAAATATAAAGATTTATTATTTACTTATTTTGGGCAGGGAGTAATTACACTAAGGTCTGAAACATCTTTACATACACTTAATTTTTAAGTAGAAATCAAACAGGTATTTTAAAAGAACTGTAACAGCATAGTTATAATCATACAAAATTCCCATAATCTTGTTGTGAAAGAGTTTAATTAATTCTTCTCACACAATGGCAAGAACACATTCTATAACATCCCTGAATTCACTCATCAGCTCGCTAATTTGTAAGACAGGCTGAATGTTTACTACATGATAAAAATGGTAAATATTTAAATTTCTTAAAATAAGCAATCACAATTATGTGGTAAAACACAACCACAGTATAATTGTTAGAGCAGGCAGACAGCCAGATAAAAGCAGGCACAGAAGCCCCTGAGAAAGTAGTCCTGGAGATGCTGCACACTGACAGCAAAAAGGACAACGGCTATACTGGCTATAACTGGCCTTGTGGTTGGGCTCCTGTGACCCTGAAGCATGTGCACTACTCTAATAACTTACTCTAGAGTAGCCTTTGGCTCATTATAATAGCAAAAAACACACCCCTAAGTGGAGATTTTGAATGCTAACGAAACAAACAACATGTGTACTAGCATGTACAACTACAAAGCTTGTATGCCTAAGGGGACTGCCTAAAATATGATTGCAACTGACACTTCCTCATGTCCTTTCACGAATAATGATGTAAGATTCTTCATAGAGTCCCCCAGCACTAGCTGCTGCTGGCTCACTCTCTCCAGAAGCCTGCTCTGCTTCATCTTTCAGAGTCTATCTTTAAGTAAACTCTGCTACTTAACCCTTGCTACATGTCTCTTGGCTGAATTCTTCTTTCAACAAGAACTGAGGACCCTGCACCCCTCCCAGTAACATAATGTGAACAACAAATACTCTGTTGTTAACTAAAAAATCACTGGAACACATATATTTCATAACTCACAAAATATACATGTAAAATTGTATTTAGATACTGATATGTATCAAAAAATAGACCACCAATTTGGCCAATTTGTTGGTAACTAAAGAAATTTGCTAAGATGTCACAAATCATTTCACTGTCAGATAAAAACCAGTGGCTTCTAATACTAGGTTTTCCAAAACTAAAAAACAAGCAACAGACTCTGCATTAAAACCATCACTCCCATAGGCCAACATCTGTTTTCACATTACTCATGGTCTTATCCTGTGACAGGAAAAAATCAGTAAGATTAGTTTTAGGAATTACATATTCTACCTCTGATTTTGAAAAATTTGAAAATAAGATTTTGAGAGTTGTGACACATTTTTCTACGTTTACATAGAACAACCTAATTGCATAAATGGGTATGTTTGCATTATAGCTAGTAAGAGGTACTTTGATGCAAATAATATCTTGCAGAATGTTTAAAAGCATAATTTAACTTCAAAATCTTAGAACTGAACATAATTTCAAAATCACTTAAGTTTTTAAGGGAGTTTAAAATCCGATTTTAATTATTTTTTTCTTTTTAAAGTGACATATATAATAGACCCTTGAGCAACATGGGTTTGAACTATGCAGGTGCACTTATACACAAATATTTTTCAATAAATATTTTGGAAAGAATACAAAACTTGCAAACTATATAACCTAGAAATATTGAAAAAATTAAGAAAGTTGAGTATTTCATGATTGTATAAAACATATGTAGATACTAGTCTTTTTATGTGTTAACTGTTTATGTTATCGGTAAGGCTTCCAGTGAATAGTAGGCCATTAGTTGGTAAGTTTTGGGGGAGTCAAGTTACAGGTGTATTTTTCACTATATCGGGGTCAGTGCCCCAATTCCTGTGTTGTTAGAGGGTATGCTGTATATCTATTTATACAATTTTATAGAAATGTATAAATGTGATTACGATCATATATTTTTGGGGGGAGGTTGGCTCCTATTACTAATCCAAGGTTACAGTTTAGAACATATCCTTCCATATTTTTCAAATATGATAGACATATACATATATGAGTTTTAGAATCACTGTTTTATAAAAATAGTATTGTATTTATATATGCACACTTTTTGCATCCTGCCTTTTTCTCTCAGCATTACTCATAGTATTCTGGTACTTAGCTCAAAAGCATTTTTTAAGAAGCTTATTCCTTGATGTGGGTACACAATATTCCCTGATGTGGGTGCAACATGATTTCTTTCGTATTCCACTCTTTGCCCAAATAATGGGCATTGATCTTCGTTTACACTGTTTTGCCACTAAGAACAACACTGCAATAAACACACTTGTAGCTATATCTTTACATACTAGCTAATAAGCTATTTCTATGATACAGGTGAACAGAAGTGGGAATGCTGGTCAAAGGGTACATGTATCTAATATCTGTTTCTAAATCTATCCACTCATTCAACAAATATTTATAACACAGCTCAAACAACAACAATATATTGCTAGGTTTATGGATAAAAGATATCTCAATAAAAGTGTTAACTAACTTCATTATGTTTTAGTTTTGAATCAAGTGCTTTTTTAGCCAACCAAGATCTGGCCCATTTTTTTTTTAATAGCTATTATTACATTAAACTGCATTCTATAAAATTCTTTAGAAGGCTCACATGTAAACTGATAGGCTGGCAATAAAATAGTTTAAATTATATTTTCATTGCTAAAAAATGCTAAAATATCATAAATGGCCACAATTTCATACTATTAATTCTTTAATTTTGCAGTAACTTTATATGATAATATAATCCTATATTCCAGAAAGAATGACAATACATTTTCAACTCTTCTTTTTCCTTCCTGACAAGATAATCAGTTTCTCTTAAAAGTCTTAGTGAAAATTAACACAACTCAAACATTTCTAAGTTAGTTTTCACCTGAGAAATATTGAGAAAGATTTTGGCTTTTTAACTTCCTTCAGTCCATACCTCTGAAAATTGAGGAATACTGACTTTATATCACTTTTTGATTACTACAGCTTTCCATAATTTTTTAAAAGTAGTTGTGATGGTTTATTAAATACAAGGTAAAAACTTTTAATATACTTATAGAAAATAAAGTATTATTGCTATTTAAGGAAAGTCTAACATATATATGAAAAGATATAATAAAATAATGAGATCAGAACATTTTCTTTACCATGTATAACATATCCGGATAGTGCTGATTTGATGTTATTTTGCTTTTTAAATGTAGAATAACAAATAATAAATGCAAATTGACAAAAAATAAAACAAAACAAAAAAAACACAACCCGTATCCTGAGATGAAATTTCTTTTCTCTATTCCCCCTTTTTTTTTTTTTTGAGACAGCCTTACTCTGTTGCCCAGGCTGCGGTGCAGTGGCACGATCTCGGCTCACTGCAAGCTTTGCCTTCCAGGTTCAAGCAATTCTCTTGTTTTAGCCTCCCATCTCTTCTCTATTTCCACAGTCCAGACAACTCGGTTTTTTTTTTTTTTTTGAGATGGAGTTTCACTCTTGTTGCCCAGGCTGGAGTGCAATGGTACAGTCTTGGCTCACTGCAACCTCTGCCTCCTGGGTTTAAGCAATTCTCCTGCCTCCACCTCCCGAATAGCTGGGATTACAGGCATGCGCCACCACACCTGGCTAATTTTGTATTTTTAATAGGGACAGGGTTTCACCATGTTGGTCAGGTAGTCTCAAACTCCTGATCTCAGGTGATCCGCCCACCTCGTCTTCCTATAGAGCTTGGATTAGAGACTTGAGCCACTGCACCATCCTGGTTTAGTTTTAAAATCATATTTCATTATCAGTAGGCCTAGCCAAAGATAAAATAACTGGGCAAATTTAAGGTAATGTCATTAAACCAATAAATTATAGTAATAATTATGGTTTTGAAAAAGTACCCTTCAAGGAAACTCTAAAAAACATACGAAAAAAGCCTGAGAGTTTTGCATTTACCATTTTCAGTTTTAAGTAAAAACTTCAATATTACAAATTAATTAGGAAAAAATTTATCTACAAATTGATTTTAAAGATAAGTGCTTCAGAATGGTGGAAACACACCATATTATTAAACACATATTTATGAACTCTGATGCTAATTTAAAGCAAAATTTCATACTAATTAATTTATTAAAAGGGATCATTTACTTAAGCTATTTGTAAACGTACCTAGATGGTTGTCTTTCTGTGTTCGTGGCTGTTTTCTTCTGAGAAGACGCTCATATAGGAGCTGCATGTTGGCCTTGGCTAGTTATAAGGATTGCACACAGCACTAGTTACTATACTCCTTTTACAACAAAACTTACTAGAATTTTCCAACTTGTTAATAATAGACTTAGCGTTGATCTGATAGTGCAGTTAGTTAATTAGATTATCAAAATTACAAATGATGTACATTCAAGTATATATCACTTTTATTTTTTTAAATTTAAATGTGTGTGCCACTCAATATTTCATAATCCAATATTATCTTCATGTTTTAACTTATTAGACTCAGAATTTTGGGTTGGCAGGGATCTCAGAGTTAACTCCCTGCTGTTACAAGTGTAGATATTGGGATTCTGACAGACTATGTGACTTGCCCAAATCTAATTCCAGAACTCCTGACTCTCATGTTTAGTAAGAGCCCTTGTGCCAAACCAATATTTAATTATATGTCATCAGAAAATGTACATCATTTATCTAGGAGAAAAGAAAAAGGCAAAAAAGTGGAAAAGAAGAACTCAAGGCATTATTTTAAAAGAGAGAACATATTTTAGAAAAGTTTTCAAAGCATGGTAGAGTTTAGGAAGTTTAAATATATGCTTATTTGAAAACTCAATAAAAATGGTAAATAATAGAGGAAAATATTCTTTAATCAAGAATTACTCTGTATCCACTTATTAAAACTGGTGAATATAGTGACGTTTGGTCAATGGTATGCTATAGAAATATTAGTATTCACAATTTTATTTTGCTAGAATAAAAATAAAAGGCATTGATAGTTTAGAATATGTAACAAATATTTTTATTTCTAATAGTTAATAGCATTTTTAAATGTTTTCTTACAAGATGCATTCAAGAATAAAATTCACAATAAAAAAGAAAATATAAACCATGAAGTTTAAGAACAACACAATGTATTACCAATATTTATTGAAGATGTATCTTGATTTTAAAAATCCCTAGGAAACTGTTAAGCTCTATGTTGATGCCTATGCTTTTTCAAGTAACAATGAAAACTGTATTGTGCTATTTCAATCATTCATTCAATAAATGTATTTTGAGTAAATCTATGTGTAAGGTACTAGTAATTTTATTTCTATCATATGCTTATTTAAGAAGTCTTGGTTTACTTTAGAATTTTATTTCCTGCTAAAATATTTTAAGCAAGTGATTTGGAATAAAGTTGACATTCATTTAGTAATTAACTTATGAAATTAAATATGAGCACTTTTATTATGATACTTTCTATATTACATCTATAAGCCCAAAGTAATATACATGACATAAAAGCCATCCTCACCAGAGAAAAATATAGAAAATCTTATGAATACATGATCAAGCTGAAGCTAGACTAATAAATTAATAATTGCTAACACTGTCTAAGCCAGGGGTCCCCAACCCCTCCCCCCGCTGTGGACTGGTACTTGTCCATGACCTGTTAGGAACTGGACTGCACAGCAGGAGGTGAGCAGTGGACAAGCAACCACCACTTCCTGAGCTCTGCCGCCTGTGAGATCAGCAGCAGCATTAGATTCTCATAGGAGCATGAACCCTATTGTAAACCATGCATGTGAAGGATCTAGGCTATATGCTCCTTATGAGAATCTAACTAATGCTTCATGATCTGAGGTGGAATAGTTTCATCCTGAAACCATCCCTTCCCCCATCTGTGGAAAAACTGTCTTCCACGAGATGAGTCCCTGGTGCCAAAATGGTGGGGACTGCTGGTGTAAGCTATTTGAAATAAATATTTATATTTAAAAAGAGAAATGTTTTTATTTAATTACTACTTAAAAATTTTACCAATAAACATACTTCCTTTTAGAGAGGATTTTTTTTTCTAAGTTAAAATATGGTTAATGTGTTTTTCATTTGTAACTATTACATGTTAAATCTAATATTATATGCAGAAGGACATCTTCCTTATACAGGTATTTATAAACTCATCTCCTGTATTATAAACCCCAAGAAGACCCATATTACTGGGTGAGTTTCTCCTCCCCATACCAATGCTGAGCTGATTTCTAACTACTGTTGCTGTGAGAGGAGAGGGAAGAGGAGAAGTCAAAGTTCTTCAAAGGCAGGGATCTATCCTTTCCTCAGGACCCAGCACAGTAACTGACACGAGGTGCTCATTAAAAGTCCAAGGGAAGTACACTGTTTAGAAGTATTGTTCCTAGAGATCCTTTAGACTCTTGTCTTTTGGATAATGTCACCTTTGCTTCCTGACACATGTATCACATCTGTTTCCCTTCAATCTCCTTACCTTATGAATGGAAACCACTTGGTGTTTGTAGGCCCAAAGTAAGTAAGTGACAGAAATGGTTCCAAATGTGCACTCTTGAGCATAAGATAATGTCTCCTTGAATCTACTGTAGCATTCCATATTAAAACTATTAACACACTTACTTTTTGTAGAAATGACATTACATATGAATTTTAAGCTTTACATCACTACTTTTCATAACACTTATTTTTCAGGCACATGATACTGTCCTTTATTAATATGGTAGTTTAATAGTTTTGTGGTCTGGTCATTAAACCTAACTAAAATTTGTAATACAATTCTATAAAAACATTTTTGATTTCAAAACCACCAAATTTAAGATATTTGAAATGTAATTTTTTCATTAATTAAGGATAAGGGATAGCCTAAATCAGCTCTATTCTATAAATGATTCTTTCATTTTCAAAAGAGAAAACTTTAAAAAATTTACATTTGAGGTGGTAGCCTTCTATAGAATTTTCCTAAGGGAAACAGGAATTCTAAGAACATGAAGTAGCAAGAAAAAGAGAGACTATTTCAGAGAATAATGATCAGAAGATCACACTACCATTTTTGAGAATGAACACATGGTCAAAAAAGAATAAATGCATTTTCCTACTGCTTGTGTATCTATGAAACCATTAGGATCACTGAATGAAGAATTCTAAACAATTTAGTGATATCTATGTCTAGTCAAGAAACTGTGAACTGAACTGACTGAATAATGAAATTAATTAAATCCACTGAAGTAGTTGTTGATAGTGGCACAATAGCCAGCATTTTCTCACAGCTGAATTTAAGTGGGGTAGAAATTCTTATGCTTTTGCAATTCTTCTGTAATCCAACATAATTTTTTTCATAGTCTAATTAGTCTCAAACTCAAGAACTATGTTCAGTAACAGTGACTACTTTAGGGAGTGCACTAATATTATTAAAAGACCAAGATCTCTGAGGAACAAAGGAATAAAGAAAGAATACTGATTAAGTAAATTTTAAAAGACAATTTATGATTTATTCAATACATAATTATAAAAATAATATATTCTGAAGAAATTAAAATGTATTTTTATAAGCTATTAGCCAACATTTGAAAATCAAAGCTTATAAAACTGACATAGAAAGTCTGAGTAAGAACTTATTTTGTAAATCCCAATAATTTATCTTCTGTGAAGTGATGTATGTGAAAGCATTTTGCAAACTACAAACGGTATATACAAAATCAAGGTAATATGATTTCTTATTATGTACTATAAATATATACAGATATTTTTGGATGAAACCTGAAGCTTGGGTTTTTAAAACAATTTAAATAATTTTTAAAATGTTAAAATACTAAATAATGTAATTTTTCCCTAAAACAGTCTAAAACGAATAGAGATCTGAGATAACTATTATAAAATCAAATGTATACAAAAATGCCCTAAAGTACCTATAATCTGAATAGACTGTAAAATATTTGGAAGTATGGATTTAATTTACCTCCCTACGAATCTGTAGATAATTACATTTGCTTTCTAGCATGTTTTGGGTTATATTTTAAGAGAAACAGTATATTGACTTTTTTTTTTTTTTTTTTTTTTTGAGACGGAGTTACACTCTTGTTGCCCAGGCTGGAGTACAATGGCAAAACCTGGGCTCACTGCAGCCTCCACCTCCTGGGTTCAAGCAATTCTCCTGCCTCAGCCTCCCAAGCAGCTGGGACTACAGGAGCACACCATCACACCCAGCTAATTTTTGTATTTTTGGTAGACACAGGGTTTCACCATGTTGGCCAGGAGGGTCTTGATCTCTTGACCTCATGATCCACCTGCCTTGGCCTCCCAAAAGTGCTATGATTACAGGCATAAGCCACTGCGCCCGGCCTACTGACATGTTTTTTAAAAGACTAATTTCAAATTTAGCACCAAGAAGATATTTTTTAATATTCTGAAAAACGTTTTTAAATTGCAAAAAGTGATTATCAAGATAGAAAAAGATGCAATTGAGAGGGAAGTAAAGTGAAGCACACAAACACTATAGTTTTAGTACAGAAAAACTATGGCAAAGCTGATAGCTAGCAATATAAGAAAGAAGAGAATGATTTGAACTATAGGATAGGTCTGGCTACTTTTAACATACCCAGTTCTAGTTTCTGACAAGAGGGAATCTCTTCTGTTACTGTAATGAAGTAGCTGTGCAATCCCTTGAAGGCTAGCAGCAAAGTGGCACAAAGTGTATAATGAAAACGATAGGCATGATGTAGGAAGGAGTCTGCAATGATGAAACTACAACCCTAAACAAAAAACAGAAACAGGATACAGAGTCAATAATACAAAATGTTACACTTAAAACTTGGAAAAATAAAGAAAAAATACCTATCTGTCCACTAATGTTATTCTAAAACACATGGAAAATTTGGTAATATTTGAGAGTTGTTCATACAAGAAATGTAAACATATGAAATGTGGCCCTAGTAATTTCAGTTACAGTGGATTTTTATAACATGTAGATTAAATTATGATTTTTGATAGCATATTTGTATTACATTTAGACTGAAGGAAAGACACTCAGTTTTTACAGTATGCCCTTTTTTCTTTTATAATAATAGCTGTACTTGCACTACACTACTCTATTTTATTTTTTATTTTTTTTAAGACATAAGGTCTCAGTTTGTCACCCAGGCTGGAATGAAGTGACACAATTGCAGCTCACTGAAGCCTCAATCTTCTGTTCTCAAGCGATTCACCTGCCTCAGGTTCCCCAGTAGCTGGGACTATAGGCATGTGCCACTATGCCCAGCTAATTTTTATTTTTTATAGAGGTGGGGTCTTGCTACGTTGCTCAGGCTGGTATCAAACTCCTGGCCTCAAGCAATCCTCTACTTTCAGCCTCCCAAAGTGTTGAGATTATAGGTGTGAGCCACCACACCTGGACTGCACTACTCTACAGTGGTCTCAACTCTGGCAATTATTCTTTAAAGGCTCCTTTGGAATGATTCTACCAGTTCTGTTAAAGGATCAAGGGGTGACAGTAACAAGTTAAAAGGGCATGGGCTGTCAAAGATGTCTATTCACTAAATCTGGTAACATTTTGAAGAGTCAGGTTAGTTTTTGTAATAGACAACTATAACCAAACAATTTGTTAAAATCATATTTAATTAGCTCTATAAGTTGCTGAACTCAATTAAAAAAAGAAATATCACATTCACAGATAAAATAGTCAAAAACACTTCTTTTAAAATAAGGAAAATATTTATAACCATGTTCAGTTCTTACATCTGGTGATAACTGTTTTGTGTAGTTAATACCAAAGACCACACTTTCAAGAGTAGGAATCACAGAATCTTTGTTTTGTGCTGGTGCATTTCTATTTAACCAAGTTGTCTTCACAGGGCGAGGAAAGCTGGAGGAAGAAGCATTATATTATTACTGTCATAATAGTCTATTTGAATGTAAGGTAAATATTTATAAAATCTTAAAGGAATAGAAGAGCAAGGGTTTTGCAAGTTTATGAGTTCTAAAGTATTCCTAAAGTAATTTTTAAAAATAATCTGAATAATCATGAAAAAAATGAAATGAATGGAAAAAAAACCAGGGCTAGATGTTTGAAATTGCTTCTCTATTATTAGACTTCTGAAAGTCTCAAAGAACATCAAAGATAAAACATGGTGAGATTTACAGTAGCTAAACAACAAATGAAAGCCAAGCTTAAATTTGGAAATACTGATGTCAAAACTGGTTACCAAGTTTACAATATTAACACTTGATCAAATATGAATGCTATTTACAGAAATAAAGAGCTCCCATGTAAATGTAGAAAAAGAAAAATTACTAAATCTACCTGATGCCTCTATTTCTCAAAAATAAGTTTCTTTCCCTTAATTCTCTTTACTAAAAGTCTATAAGCTCTATTAAATAATTTTTTATTATTCACGTCCCTAGCAGCTGGGACTATAGGCGTGTGCCACCATGCCTGACTAATTTCTATTTTTTGTACAGGTGGGGTTTTGCTAACTTGCTCAGACTGGTCTCAAACTCCTGGCCTCAAGCAATCTTCTGGCCTCCAGCTTCAAGGCACCATCAATTACATATTACATGAATTATTTCCGTTAGTATTAACATATTTATGTTCCATAGAAGAAGAAACATATTTCTGTTAGAATGCTGAAAAATCATATACAATTATAATTTGAAATAAAGTAGGCCGAAGCATTTGAACTGTTTGATATTTTGGCAAAAGGGAAAAGACAGAAAAGAAAAACAATGTTGCCATAAGCAAATGGCATAAGCTACGTTACTTTTGCCATTTGCATTGCAAAAGTAAAATGTCTATGTTCTTGCAAAGAAGGGAGTCTTAAATAAGTGGTAAATTCCACTTGCTACAATGTGTTTTTCAGAATCAGTCATAAAAGTTGCACTTAAAAATTCATATATAAGAAATACTTCAAATAAAAAACAAGCAAATAAAGAAATCCTAAGCCACTTACTTTAAGTTACTGATATAATGTCTATAGATTGGGTTGACCATAAAAATTGTTTTAAATAAAAATGAAAATTTAAAAGATAATGCTATAAATTAAAAATTTTTCAATGTTTATAGGATTTAAAAAAATCCATCAATAATAAAACTTCAGGAAAAAACTGTTGAAGCATATATAGTCGGAAATGATACCCTTAGATATGACCCCTTTACCAGCACACCACCAGCAAGTTTCCCCTTACCCTTTCCTTGCTTTCCTTTTCCAACCTTCCATTTACAGGTAGGGAAAAGCTGGGAAAGATGCTGCTGCTTTTACAGCAAAGTTCTAGCAGCATGAGAGGGTTAGACATAAGGGCCCATGGCAGCTACGTAAAGAACAGCAACCTCAGTGGTTACAGGCATATTTTTTTCTTTTCTAGTCACTAACCAAGGCCAACAATTAATCCTCTTGGCTTCTGATTCTGAGCCAAAAATTTTTTCTTCCAGTAAATGGTCTCTAGGAGATGAGCTCCCCCTTTCTCCTATTAGTCTGTGGCAAAAACTGCTGCATTGCAAGAGAAAGCACATATTTAACTCACTATGATGGTGATGTGAATATCTACTCTGTTCAATCAGGGCCTTAAAAAGCAACATTAATAACCTGAGCTAACCTCTATGAATTGTTTGTGCATTTTTCAGGAGAGAAACTTAGCTAGTTTTATGAAGATAATCTTGGTAAGTTTTAAAAAGAAATAGTTAAAATAGTTTAATTAGGAATTCTTTTTTTTGAGACAAGTCTCACTCTGTTTCCTAAGCTGGAATGCAGTGTCATCATCTCTGCTCACTGCAACCTCTGCCCCCCAGATTAAGGCAATTCTCCTGCCTCAGCCTCCTAAGAAGCTGGGATTACAGGCACCTGCCACCGCACCTGGCTAAGTTTTGTATTTTTAGTAGAGACGGGTTTCACCATCTTGGCCAGGCTGGTCTTGAATTCCTGACCTTATGATCTACCTGCCTCAGCTTCCCAAAGTGCTGGGATTACAGGCATAAACCACTGCACCCGGCCTAATTAGGGATTCTTATTAAAACCACAATAAGAAGAGATTTAGAAAACTGTAGTAATGTATTTTATAAACAGATAAGCTTTTAGCATTAAAACCAAACACATAATCACATAAAAGCAATACTATATATTATTTAAAAGTTGTATTTAAAAAAGCACACTTTCTTGTTAGAGAGCTTAAGTCAAGATGATCTACATGTAAGAGATGAGAGCAACAGAATGAAAGAGGTTTTCAATTAGTTTTTAAAACAATGTAAAGACATGCCATAGGAGGCTATTATCTGTGGTCATTATGTTAAATTGTGTTGGGCTTCTATAAATTCTGAAGGTAATTTTGCAAAATGATCTACTTAGTTTTCTGATAAATCAGCTTACCATCATATCCCTTAAGCATAATCCCTAATATCATTTGTCAGAATCAGGTGTACATAGAAATTGCAGACAGTTTAAAAATCAAATAAATTTGGAAACTTTCATATAATTCACTGATTTGAAGCATCCATCTGCTGCCCATACTACAAGGATGATGATGTAAAAACTGAAGAGCTTGTATTGTATTTTCACATTAATGAAAGACAATCTGCCCATGGAAGTGAACAGAAAAATATAATTATCTCAATGCATTTACTATATGATCCAGAATATTATACACCTTTGAACTAAAATAGTACATGATATAGTTTTTGTTTGTTTGTGTTTTGGGTTGTTTGTTGTTGTTGCTGAGACAGAGTTTCACTCTTGTTGCCCAGGCCGAAATGCAATGGCACAATCTCGGCTCACCACAACCTCAGCCTGCCAGGTTCAAGCGATTTTCCTGCCTCAGCTTCCCAAGTAGCTGGGATTACACGCAGGGACCACCATGCCCAGCTAATTTTGTATTTTCAGTAGAGACAAGATTTATCCATGTTGGTCAGGTTGTTCTCAAACTCCTGACCTCAGGTGATCTGCCAGCTTCGGCCTCCCAAAGCGCTGGGATTACAAGCATGAGCCACCTCGCCCGGCCAGTACATGATATGGTTTTAAAAGGCTTAGTAAAAATTCATAAAGATGGTTAATGAATTAGAAAGCAAGAATTACGTAGGATGAACAGTTAGAAGATAAAATTAACCTATTTAGATAAGAAGCAAAGAAAAAAAAAGAAAAAATTCACATACTTTTGTAGAGTAATTATCATATAGCATTGCACAAAACATAGGTACAGACTAAACAATGTTGTATGGTTATTTCCAGATTTTATTTTTTCTTTGTTAACTTATTTGGGATTGACAAAGATAGCTTCATAGTTCTGTAATAAAAAAAAAGGTATCAAGCTAATGTTCCCATACTCTTGAATTTTGTTATAAAATTAAAAGTCCTTATTATTTCAGTTCTCTTTAGCAAAGTACATGTTTTCACTATAAAAATAAAAAACACTACATTAATAAGGATCTCATGTTGAATTGTAATACTCATTGTTGAACTGGGGCCTGGTGGGAGTTGACTGGACCAGGGGGACAGATTTCTCATGAATGATTTAGTATGATTCCTCCTGGTATGACAATGCCCTCATGATAGTGAGTTTTCATGAGATCTGGTTATTTAAAAGTGTGTAGCAACTCCCCCGACTCTTTTGCTTCTGCTCTGGCCATGTGAGATGCCTGTTCCCCCTTTGATTTCTGCCATGATTCTAAATTTCCTGAAGCCTCGCCGCAAGTTAAACAGATGCCACCATCGTGCTTCCTGTATAGCCTGAAGAACCATGACTCAATTAAACATCTTTTCTTTATAAATTGCCTAGTCTCAGATATTTCTTTATAGCAGTGTAAGAACGACTTAATACAAAGATATTAGTCAAATTTACCTTATTAGCGGCTGGTGTAGTGCAACCAATGATGCATGAACTGTAACAGACACAACAGAAAGGTGGAAATAATCAAACATAACATTAACATGATGATGAAGGCCTCTATGTGGGCTAAAGTGCAGCTTCAATGTTCGGCTACTTATTAGTTGCAAGGCATTCAGGTCATCTGCCCTGTAAAAAGAAATAATTAGCATATAAGTATGAAATATTTGGTAAAGGCCAAAATATTACAGAGTAGTTGAAACTATAAAAACCGTTTACTTAATTACTTCTTAAAAATTTTGAATGAGTAATTTTTAAAGCATCAAATTTGCATTATAAAACAATATGAAACATACCTATTGAGAAAATAATCAGATCCTATTGTTTTCTATCAGTCCCTGATATAAACTATTTTTTTCATTAATATCCCTATGAGTCCTTTTTGATACTTCAGGAATTAATCTCATCTTAAAGTAAATTTTACCCCATAGAGAATACTGTTTATTACAAGGCTGCAGTACAACATAGGTCAAATACTATTATAATAAATCCCAAAAGTTATTTCAAATTATTTTTACTGTATAACATTCTATTAAATGCTGCTCGAAAATAAGTAGGTCATTGCTTATTTCAAAAAGTAAAACATATCTTATTGTGGATATTTAGTCTGTCATTAGATTTATACATACTAAAAATGTGAAACAATAGCATGAAAATTGTATCCAATTATACTTTTAAAAAATTCATTCATACATTATATCTACAGGTAAATACTAATTTCAGCTTATTCCATTTAAAGAATTCTGACTTGGTTTAAAAAAAAAAACAAAACCAACAAACCCTCATGAAATTCTTTGTAATGAACAAGACTTGGTTTAAAAAAAAAAAACCCTCATGAAATTCTTTGTAATGAACAAGTATTACAAAGGAAAAGTAGCTACCATATTTAAAAAAACTTATTTCTCATGATAGTGAAGAGGACATCTAAAGTAGGCCTTTCAGTAATGTGACTTTTTAGTTATTTATCCCACATGCAGTCTGAATTTATATATCATTTTTGAGAATTATTGCTAAAACTACATTTGACACAGGGGTTTTACCCCACATAAATAAAATTAAGTGAATCTTTGATTCTTGTTTTAAATGAACACAAGCAAAATTTGTCCCTAAAAGATATGTCTGCATGTCCAGGTGTATGGGTGAGTTGAAGGTAGCCCATCCTAAAACTTCCTCAAGGGCTCTGGAAATTAATGAACTAGAACAACCATCAAGTGTGCATCACCAAAATATCAAGAAAGTCCCACCTAAAGAAAGCATAACTAATGCCATCAAGAAAGATTAGCCAGCGACAGTGTAAGAGAGCTCAGCTACATTTAAATGGCTCATGGTAGTAGTATTACGTTAACAGTGCAATTTCTAGGATCTAGGAAAAATTGTTCCATATTTCTTTAACTTGTCTGGCTTTGTTATCTGGAGCTCATGGATTCTGCATGGGCACAATAGAGCTGGCCTAACCATCCTCATGAAGTTGCCCCTGAAAACACAAGCAGTTCAAGACAACATAGGGATAGGATGAATTCTAAGAAGAAAATGGCAATCAAATAACAGTCATAAGTGCCTTACAGTTTGATTAGCTACTTACGAATAATCTCCATCTGTGAAGTGTAGATCCAAGGATAACAGAAAATTCATTTCCTCAAGGGTTTCTTCAATCTGGAAAGAAATTACACTATGAGATACTTTTTGAATTTTAATAGAAAGTTAGAAATAACACCTTGAGGAATTACAAAAATATTTATGTAAATAAATATGAAGAGATGTTTACCTTTCTTTCATCCAACAACATTTTTACTTTGAAGATCATAACATCATTTAAAACAACCTCTTCATTTTTGTACAAAATTTGAAATGTTTTACTGCAAATTAGAGAATTGTGAACTGAGGCTGGAAAGGCTAATGCCATACCTAAAACAGATAAAATATGTAATTGATAGGTAAAAAGTAAAATATAAGACAAGCAAATGAATACTTGTACTTTAAATACTATACGTTTGATTATATTACTACAGTGTCATCAATCTATACTGCAGTATTGGAACATTTCTGAAAGTTTACTTATATCTGCGATTATAAGTACAGTATAACCATCACAAAATTACTGCATGGTATCTTAATCTGAAGGTAAATGAGGAAATATCAAAGTCAAAATTTTAGAGTGAACTACTGATCTATGTGCCACATTTAAGAAAGCAATTGAGTTTTCCACAGCTGAGTAGTAAAGACTTTGGTTGGTCTTTGTCCTGATTGCTACAAGCTCAACTCTAAACACTTGGAATAAAGAATTTGGCTGGTCTTTGTCTCCACTTTCTGGGAAGTAGCCCCTAAATCCTTGGTGGCCCCTAATTTATGCTAAGGAGATAACTCAGGATAGGGGCTTGTCACATCACTAAGACCAGCCATGTGATTAGAGAGTTGCACTTTGAGCCTAGTGATATAACCTCAATATCCAGAGAGGGGAAAATAGGTAAAGACTGAGCAACACGGGCGATGATTCAATCAATCATGCCTACAAAACGAAACATCAATAAAAATTCTGGACACTGAAGTTTGGGTGAGCTTCTCTAGTTGGCAATACTCTGCATATTATTACATACTGGATGTTCGACAGGGAAGTTAATGTGTCCTGACTTAATGGGAAGAAAACAATGGAAGCTTCACATCTGGGACTCTCCCAGATCAATCCTATACAGGTTCTAATTTAAATCCTTTTGCTATAATAAAGCTATAATAAATAATAAGTACAGCACTATGCTGAGTTTGGTGAGCTGTTCTACTGAATTATCAAACATGACGTAATAATGGGAACCTCCAAAATTGTAGCCAGCTCTTAACAACTGTGGGTAGCTTGCAGACCACTTAACTTGTGGCTGACATGAGGGAAGTCTGTGGAGGACTGTGTCCTTACCCTTTGAAGTTTGGTTTTATCTCTGAGTTGTTGATGTCACTCCAACAGCTGTTATGACCTTATTGCCCTGTGCTCCAGAAGTAACAATTGAAACTGGAGACCAAAAAAACAAAAAAGAAAAGAAAAGAAAAAGAAACTACTAGAGACTAAGGTGGGTTTTGAGCTCAAAATGGGATATAAGATTCCAACTGGAGTAATGAAGATATCCACATAAGCTGATGGATGTCAGTAAAAGGCAGGGAGCCTCTGCAGGGCAGGGAGCCCAGAGCCCAATTGTAGTAAGGAAGATGCCCACATGGAAGCCACAAGGGGTGGTGCCTGATGTCAGAGCCTGTGGAGTGAGGAGGGCAGCCAAGAGTAAAGTATCAGAACCTGAGCAGGATGAGGAGGCAATCTAAGTGCAGGGATGACTTCAAGCGAGGTATTGGGAGTACAAGCAGGATGAATAGGGCAACTAAAAAGGAAGGCACCTCAGGCTGGGGTTGAACCCAAGTTAGATGGGGAGGGTGTCTTTACAGAGAAGCAGCCTGGTACAGGGTGTGTAGGAATCCAAAAGGGATAAAAAGACTTCCATATGGGGGTAGGAGTGAAGAAGGGGTGGGTATCAGCAGCCTGAGACACTACTGGAATCCAAGTGAAGTGAGGAGAAGGAGGTCCTGGCATAAGGCCTTACTGAGGTCAAGTGGGGAAAGGAGGGGGCCTACATAAGGTAGTGACTTTGCATAACATGAAGCCCAACTAGTTCAAGGAGACCATCTGTGTGGGAGAAGAAGCAGTGACAGGAGATTGGCACATATAAGGGACTGATCAAATAAAGAAATATATTAAGGATAAAAGGAGCCCGTTTTCTTACCTAACAGCGAAAGGATGTACACATATGGAAAGGAGATACAAATATAGAACGAATCCCATGGTACTGATTGAAACTGGAAGTAGTGATATGAACTTATGATTTTCACTATATATTTAGATAAAGACATGTACATTTGCATAGGTATGTGTAAAAAATAGGTGTATACAATGTACTCACTCACTCTTTGTCCACTCAAATGGCCTGGGAGTAGCACAACCCCAAATGTTAGTCTTTAGTACTATTCTCCACTAAAAGGAACCATGAATTTGCAAAACATGGAATCCACATGGGGTGGTGGCCTGATGTCAGAGCCTGTATGGAGTAAGGAGGGCAGCCGAGAGTAAAGTGTCAGAACCTGAGCAGGATGAGGAGGCAATCTAAGTGCAGGGGTGACTTTGAGCGAGATACTGGGAGCCCAAGCAGAATGAAATATATTGATTGGTTCCAAAGCTGGGGCACAAACAAATCTGGACGATCTTTTTATATCAGAAAGTAAGGAAGTGATTAGAGAATGTGGGGACACAACCAAAGGGCACAGAAGCTAGTTTGAAGAGAATGTTCTTGGTCATATCTGGGACAAAGTGAGCATCAAAATAAATTATGACAGCAATGGATTAACATCTGTTGAATCAATAGAAATCCGTAAGTCCATACTGATATAAATAAATAAGTGAATGAAAAAAATTGTAAGTTTAAGAAACAAGAGATATTAATTGCAAAGTGAAAAAGAGTAACGTTACAGTGAAGAGGCTGGGAAGAGAGCACCTTAATCAAGTGATCCAAATTAACATTTTTAGGAATGGGACAATGAGAAACCATGTATCACCTAATAGGATGTAACAAGAAGAACAACAAGCATCATTCTGAGATATTCCTGTCAAGAATACATAATCTGAATCTAATCATGAGGATATAGTAAACTCATGCAAACTGAAGAACATTCTACAAAATAATAGGTTTATAGTCTCCACAAAAGTATCAGGGTCCTGAAAGTCAAGAAAAGACTGAGGAACTGTTCCAGGATGAAGGAGACTAAAGAGACATAACAATTAATTACAATATATGATTTGGAACTGGATCATTTTGCTATAAAGGACTTTACCGGGACAACTAGCAAAACCTGAATGGGGCTAAGGATAAGATGGCAGTCATGTGTCAATTTTAATTTCTTGATTTTGATGGGTGCATTAGGGTTATGTAGGAGAATATTCTTTAGAAAAAAATAACGCAACACAAGATATTTGGGATGATGGAGCAATCATACTGGCAAATTACTCTTAAATGTTTCAGAAAAAAAAAGTTGTTTTTACTGTACTTGCAACTTTTCTGTAAGTTTGAGATGCTTCGGGAAATACAGACTTAAAGGGAAACCAAGTAGACCAGAAACTCAACTTCTCAGTATATTAAAGACCTGAGAAGTAAAAGAAATTTTCCTCAACAAAAGTAAATTTTGTTTAAAGCACCCAGGTAATGTGAGGTTAGAATCCACTGCTTAAAGAAACAAAGGTTTCTCTATTGCTCTTTCCTGAAGATACTGCTTCTCTCTCAATACTTCCATATAACTTCTACCACTGGGTCTGGAGCTTCTTTGTTGCTTACTGATGCTTTCAGACATTCTTTGTCCCTTCTGCCTAAAACCACTTATATCACTGGCTTTTAATCTCCTGTGATCAGACAGTACAGTACCACTCACTATCTTCCTCATTTTTGTACTCTACAAACCCTGGGAAGCCTTCCTATCTTGAAGGCTTTATTTCCTAATTCAAGGTCACTTTTTCCAAAACTGGTCTAGCCGTAACACTTGGTGAACTCAACAGCTATGTAGGTAAACCTTCTAATCTTTCATTTCCTGGGTTCCTTTTCTTCTCTCTTTAAGTGTTCTTGCCCTCTAACCCTCCTCATCTCCTCACTCCTGTGATCATTCCCTAGACATTTGTATTACAAATGAATGCAATCCACCTGTAATTTGAATTTCTTTTTTTAAAAATTACATGTACAGGATGTGCAGGTTTGTTACACTGGTAAATGTGTGCCATGGTTGTCTGCTGCACAGATCATCCCATCTCCCAGGTACCAGGCCCAGCATTCACTAGGTATTCTTCCTGATCATCTCCTTCCTCCAACCCCTCCAACAGACCCCAGTGTGTGTCATTCCCCAGGATGTGTTCATGTGTTCTTATCATTTAGTTCCCACTTATAAGTGAGAACCTGTGTAATGCTTGTTGTAATGTGAATTTCAATCAACCTCTCCTCCCATACTTCTGCCTGTCTTTCTAGTTCATACCCTCTAAGACTACAAGTTCAATGATCCTTTGACCACATTTAGGAGTATAACCCTACTCCTTTTCATCATACCTTTACTTTCTCTTTTTTCCCCTGCCCATCTTAAATCCTATGATCCATCATTATAATACACTCTTGCATATAATCTATTAAGGATATATGCTACCCTTGCTTTGTCATATTGACCTGGACAAATCCCAACTCCAGCTCTCTGCCCAATCCATACTTGTACCTACAAGCTGAATGTGCCTGGAGAAAAATACACAGGTATCTTGACTGACTATACTTTAGATTCATGACCATTAATTTCAAGTGGGTCATTAGTGCTACATAGCAATCACACTGTATTTTCCAAATCCATTTTCTCCCCATATTCCTAGATGAGTATTTCATAGATTATTTTCTCACCTCACCTAGTCTTCAGTCTCACTGATAAATTTGGTTCTTATTTCATGAGAAAATAAAAATAATTAAAAGTTCTGTAAGCTCTACTACTGCATCTACCTGAAGACGCACCTAGACAAACTCCCTATTTCTCTGCTCTCCTTTCTGGCAAAATGAAATGTCTTTGCTATTTAGTGTGTTTAATCCATTTCTCATTCTCTCTTCAGCTCATTGTGTGACAGCCAGCCTCCAAAATGGCCTCCAAAGATTCTCTTCCTGGTAGTCATACTCTTGCACAATCTCCTATGAAGGACCAGGGTTGATCTATGTGAATACAGCAGAAGTGATAGCAGGGGCTGCCACCCCCTGCCCCTACTGTCACTTCTGCTGTATTCACATAGATCACCCCTGGTCCTTCGTAATCCCAACACTTTGGAAGGCTGAGGCAGATCACTTGAGGTCAGGAGTTTGAGACCAACC